CTACTACTACTACTACTACTACTACTACTACTACTACTACAGCTTTTTCTTGTCAAACTCCTCTCTGGAGTTTACGTGGTGTTTACTTCGGGTTGAAGTTTTCGAGGGAAAATAAGAGACGAAAATAATTATCCGTGCGTTTTGATTGAGGCGAAGGGCGCCTCCGAGACACGTCCTCAAAGCGCAGTCCTTGTTCAAGACCAGATATTAGGCTGTCAACTAAGATGACCCCTTTGCTGCAAGTTTTTTGTGCGTTATCTAAGTTTACCAACGGATTTTACAATAATTATCATTTCAATTCCCCCCTGCTCGCCGGACTCAACATCCTCAAGAAGCTGGCGCCAGCATACATGAGACGAGGGAACACCGAGATGACTAATTACACCTCCCCCCTACCCCGAGGACCATTTAAATACTGCATATAACTGACGAAGAATTGTTGAAAACATGTGTTTGCTCATATGACTTCTCAATTTTTAGTTATGAGCCCCTCCCCAGGGCTGACCTAACTTACCTCATCCTGCAGAGACTCATAGAGGTCGTCTGATGAGCCCCGACTCAGGCAGGATACCGAAAGCTGTCGGTCAGGACGGGGCGCGGTGACCGCAGACTTTGCGAGGAATGCGGCCAAGTCCACTTGAAGTTGGGCGAAACTGGGCCGCTGGGTGGGATCCTCCTTCCAGGTTCGCAACATCAGAGCGTATATACCTGGCGGACAGTCCTCGGGTATGCCCATGCGTTCACCAGACTCGAGGAATTTCAGCACCTGATTGGTCAACTGAAAATTTGTGCGAAAAGACGTCACTGTTTAACGTAAACAGACAGGGAGGTCCAAAGGGCTATAGCCCGAGAAACAAATATGAAACAACAAATAGCAAAACGCCCATTCACGCCTCTTCGGTATTCTTGCACGCAGGTGCGATCCTGGCGCACTACCAGGCTCAGTTTTAGGTCCCACATTATGCCTTGTTTCCATCAACTATCCTGTTAGGGACCTAGACTGTGATGTCCCCCCCACCTTTTTGCTGACGACATAAACTGTTGAAAGTTTTCCAAAATACGGTAGATAAAATCCAGGCTGAACAAGTTAGAGGACTGGTCAAAGCACCGACTCATGCCGATCAATGTAAGTAAATGCAACTTTCTTCAAATCGGCAGTTTGAGAGCATCCAGCCTAAAGGATTACTTCTTCAACGGTAAAACGCTGCAACAAGCTGACAGTCAGAAGGACTTGGGCGTGTGGAGTACTTCTTCACTCAAACCAGCACTGAACTAAACGAAAGCGACGAATCCAGCCGTATCTATATTGCAGCTGATTAGGCGAGCCCTTATGGGGTTTAAAAAAACATATTTTCAAAAAAATGTCTCCCGTCGATTTCGACTATGGGCACCACGTGCTCC